GAAAATAAGATAAATTGTTTGTTAAGGTTACCTGATAGTGCAAAAATAATTTAGACGGAGAGTTTATGTAATATAAACTCATAAATCTTACTATAAAAATGAAATAGGTTTAAGTTATATTCACCAATAGTATAACAATGTTCTTGCACTATCAATGAACTTAATTTATTATAATGGGTTACTTATTGTTTGTTTTAAGCTATTAACCAATATTTTAAAATAGCAATTACCTTTTAATTATCACCCCTTTTCACCTTATATAGGGTAGGGGCAAATTTAATTTTTCCATACTAGTAGACACAACCAATACATAAAAAACTTTCCGTATAAAATCATATAATTTTAACAATATTAATCCAAATAATTTAAACTCTAAAAATCATTTACTTTAGCATCTATATCTACTTATATATTAGTGAAACTGCATTGGCGGTGGAGCTAAAAAAATTATTAAGAGGATTTAAAATATGAAAAAACAAATACATCAAATTTAAAAAGTCAAATAAAGTTCAACTTCTACTATATATAAATAAAAAATATTTTTAATCATATATAAATTATATAATTTTTCACCGATCAAATTGATAAACTCCTCAACTCTATCTGACTTCGCCCTTTGAGATTGTTAGTGTGAAAAGGAGAGAGGTGAAAGGAACTAAAAAAGAGTGAATAATTATTGACTTTATTGTTGATGTTGAAGTGGATTCACACTTCGTAATTTCCCACGTATGACGGTTTTGCCTAATTCTTCTTTATCTATGTTAATTAATTAACAATCATTATCTTCATCATTAAACAATAAAGATTTGGTTAAACATGAAAAGGTAAATAGCTGAAAAGGCTATAACTATAATGTAAAGCTAATTAACTTCTTGTATGGAAAAAAAAAGTTAATGTAAAAGTTAAGCAAAAAGTTATTATTATTATTATTATTATTATTATTAATTGAGAAGCTTTTGCTTTCACGTTTCATGACAAGGAAAAAGGCAAATTGGCACTGTTTGGTTTATTTTATTTTTCATGAAAAAAGATTAATAAATACGTAAATTACTTAAAAAGTGGGGGATAATTTATTTTTATTTAGTTTAGAAGGAAAAAAAAAAGAGAAGAGGGTCATTGTCTTAAAAAAGAGAAGAGGCAAGCACACGAGGGCCTCCAAAAAGAACCAAAATTTAAAAAACAACAAAGATGGGGTGGTTCCCCGCACGTGTATTTAGCTTCCCTTATAATGCTCTCGATTAAGTTATTTCGTAATTATAATTTTGAGATTAAAATAATTTATCTTCATAAAGGTGAATTTAAAATTAATTGTATACATGATATAAATAATAATGAACATGTTAACATATGTTCAAGTTAAACGAATTTATTTTTTACATTTTTCTTGTAAATAATTTATATTTGGAAATAATATTATTTTTCCTTAATTAAGAAATAAAAAGGATGGATTACTCTTCCTTAATTAGAGATCTTGTGTTCGATCCCCAAATATGGAAATATCTTTGGTAGGAAGCGCTACCCCTCAAATGGGACCGTATACCTACGAATATGAATTAATCGGATTTTACCAAATACTAGGCGAAAAACTAATAAGAAACTCTAAATTTTTGAATATTTTGATTATAAATTATGATTCATAGTGTTTAGATATATTTCTATAAATATTGTACATTTCATTTTAGAAAAATAAAAATCGATATGGAATTTATATTAAATACTAGATATAAGGTGTCTGTGCTAGCACGGGCCCAACATATGTTACTTTTTTGTTTTAATTAATGTGATACAAATGTAATTTGGAGCCATTCAAAATATTTATATTTTTAAAATGATTTTTAAGTTATTAATTATTGTAACTTATTGTACTCTCTACGTAATTTTTACATAATATATTTTACTCTCTTTTTCTCAATTTATGCTGCACAAGCGGAATTTCCAGAGTCACCAAAAAAATTTAAAATATTTCTTTTAGGTATTTTATGATTTATAATATTTCTTATGCATTATTCACATAATATATGTTACTCCCTTTATCTTAATTTACGTGGCACAAGTAAAAATTCGAGAGCCAACCAAGAAAATCAATTATTTTATATCTTAAATTGTAATTATTTTGATTTATAGTCATTTTTATGTAATTATCAAATATATAACAAATTAAAAAATGAAGTAAGACAAACAAATTGACACAAAGAAATTTTCAAAAGTATTGCTTCTACCACTTATTGATATTTAATAATAACAATAATAATTAATTTATCATTCCTAATTTTTTTTTGAAATTTTATGAACAAATTCTTTTAATTTTAATATTGTGATTTATTGTTCTTTTTATGTAATTATCAAATATATAACAAATTAAAAAATAAAGTAAGACAAATAAATTAACACAAACTTTTTTTTGAAGTATTGCTTTTAGCCACTTATTAATATTAAATAATAATACTAACAATAATAATAATAAATTTTATTATTTCTAAAAATTTGTTGAAATTTTATGATCAAATTATTTTTATTTTAATCTTGATAAAAGACAATGTTAAATAAAGAAGAAATAGTGGGGGATGGTTGGGGACGTGACACGTGAGAGAATTAACTTGGTTGGATTATTGTGTGGTAAAGAGATGACATATGCAAGGGACACTTTAGTCTATACACTCAAAAAGTATTCATAGTTGCTATAGTAAAATTTCCTTAGGTCCAATTATATTGCTACATTCTAATTTCTAAGTGAAATGACTAAAATACTCTTTAAAAGCTAAGCAGGTATGTTGACAAGGTGTGTGCTTATTCCCATTTATAAAATAGTATATATATATATATTATCTTCTCTTTCTTGAATTTCTTTACTCATCTAGTTAGAGTCTTCTGAACTGGTTGAGTATTCTTCATAGATTTCTTCAAAGAAATCTTCACTATCAATTGATTTTATTGATTCTAGATCTGAATCAATTTCTATTCTATCAATTTTTGAAACTTTAAAATAAAAAAAAAATAAAAAATATATATATATATAAGTAGAAGTTAACTCACAGTTCACATGCTTTGAACTTTTTTTTTTTTTTTCATAATATACGAGGAGTAATAATGTAATTTTGTTATAGCAATTGAAATTATGCTAGTGGTGGCTAATGGTTGAATATTTTATTATAAAACTCGACTAATCAGGCATATTAAAAGGAACCATCCAATAACTATAACATCACAAATTATAATTCTAATTTTTATCGAATCTTTATATTCAATTATGCCCTTTTTTTACTCTTTTAATTACTAGTTTACTACAGTATATATGAAATAAAAGAGAGAAAAAAATGCTAATCAAGCAACTAAGATTAAAGACATAATATGTAAACATGACCATTAACTTGGCATCAGCTGATAACTATGACCTTTAACTTTGGGTGTGCACAAGTAGGCACTTAAATTTGTATAAAATTGAACAAATAGACACATTCGTCCTACATGGCACCTTACATGAAAATTTTGTGTCTTATGTGGCGTCCTACATGTATTATGTCATGTAGGACATGTGTGTCTACTTGTTCAATTTTATACAAGTTTAAGTGTCTACTTATGCACACTCAAAGTTAGAGGACGTAGTCCGTTAAAGCCAAATTAAGGGTCATGTTTATGTAATATGCCAAGATTAAATAAAGCGCTTGCATCCTTTTTTGGCGCATATGTTCATGGAGATATTCCAAAAGTGAGTTGGCTAAAACATATTCCCAGCGCGTTACTGTCGTAATTTTTAATAATAGAATTATTTCAAATTATGTTTTATTTAAAATTTTAAGATTAAATTATTATTTTTTATATTATCTTGAATTGTTTTTAAAAAATATAAACACCCTATTACGTAAGAGAGAATTATTGAAAACACTCTTAAATTTGGCGCAAATTATTAATTTTATCCCCGAACTATTGACAGTGTTAAAAAAACACTCCTTTACTTGACTAACTGGACTTAAATACACCTCAATCGCGTAATATGAATGAAATACACTCCCTAAATTCTTATCATGTTTAGGGGTGCTTTCAACATTTCTTTCGTTTTTTATTAACAGTCTCATACTCCTACAAGAGTTTGAAATCATTTGTTATGTCATGTTGCATATCAAGAGTGCATCAAAGTTTAGTTAGTCAATAATATGTCAAGTTTAGAAATGTCTTCAATACTTCTCTCTAAAAAGAATGACAATAAAATAGTTAAAATTTCTTCTTGATTAATGTTTTCTAAAAGAGGGTGACATACGAATTACGATAATTAATTTAAGACTGAAGAGTTAGAAAGAAAAAAAAACATAATACATACCTTTTAACTTGACCTTAATCGATTATATTCATCAATTTTGAGTGTGCATATATACATATAGAAAATTGAATAAATAGCTACACACGTTCTGCTATGTAACAAATCACATATCACATGAGATTTTATTATGTAAACGCATATATCTACTTATTCACATTCAAAATTAAGGCACATAAATATTAATCAGATCCGTTTATATACTACGTATGAAAAGAAAACTAGAAAGCAAACAACTCAGAGATCACGACGGTCACGTGATCCGAGTGAAAAACCTCACGCGGTGGCATACTCTTCTGTCACCCAAAACAACATCCCCTTCCTTAAATGCGCATCCCTGGCGTCAGTTTTGCCATTAATAGCCAAACCTATCTATCTTACGCCGGTTACATAAAATGGCATCTCATTAAATTCAACCACAACTCAAGGTCATTTTCGTCATTCCATCTCTTCACTAATAATTCCAACATTATCCACACCCACCCCCTCGCCCCATCTTATACGTAATATAATACCACAGATCTTTACTTTAATGTTATTTTTGACCCCACTTTCCCTACATAATTACAAAATAACAGCTAGAGAGAGACTCTACTCTGTTTTTAATTTTTTTTAATTAAACTTTTCCTCTTTCCTTCTTCTTATTAATAATAAATAAATCGCTGTCTTTTCTCGATTATTGTGTTTCTTCTTCTTCGAATGTCTCCTGATTTCTTTCTTAATTAGAAAAAAAAAAAGTCCGGCGGTTCAGTTACCGGAAAATCTATCATTCTTCACCGGAGAACAGAATTTGTATTTTTTTTTGTAGTTTGTTTTTTCAAGGATGAGTAGCGTACAGAATACTGTAGATACTGTAAATGCTGCCGCTTCGGCTATAGTTAATGCAGAGAGTAGAGTTCAACCATCTACAGTTCAGGTATATGTAATAATTATGTAACTGTTTGTTCCATACTATGTACTGTTACTTGTAATTATAGCTAAAAGGTAAAAAAGTTGTTTTTGTGTTACTTTTTATCTTTTTAGTTTGTTTGTTTGTAATGATTTGATGCAAATTTCATGTTTTTGTGAAGTTGAAGGTATAAGCTTTTTTAAAAAAAATAAAAATTAGTATTTCTTTTTTTGGACTGGATTGGAGATTTGGTGGTGTGACGGTTATCAGCTAAGATGATCCGAAATCATGAAACGAAGGGGGGAAAAGGAACAGATCGGGTAAAGAAAAGGAAGCTGGTGAAGAAATGATTATTTATGATCGCGAATTATAGTTGTGCACATTGATATAAGATTTTGGGGGAGACGGAAGAGCGTTTCGCGGTGATTAGATATGTAAAATTCAGTCCATTGTGAAATTTGTAGCTTCATTTGTAAATCTGTGACCTACAAAAGCCAGTATATTTGTTGAAGGTGATTAGAGAATGGACAAACATGTGGAAGGAAAAGCTAGAGAGAATTTGGATTGTGTAATGGGAGTTCTGCTGCAATCCTCAGGCTTTTAGGGAGTTGATTTCTCAAAAAAACTCTTGCTTTGTTGAAAAAAATTGGAATCAGGAAGAAATTGACTTTTCTGGGATAATAGTTATTAGTTGAATGATCATATGTGAAATCAACCGGGCTTTTAGGATGTCGATTGGGTAAAGATTAAGAAGTACTTTTATCACCTTTTTAGCTAGGATCAACTGGTGGGTTGTGTAGACTGTAGAGAAGAGTGAAGACTTTTTCAGCATCTGGGTCCAGTTTTGGTGTCTCCTTTTTCTCTATCTCGATAATCATTTAACTTTTAAGCAATAAGCAGTTCTCTTTCTCCTCCGTGATTCTTGGTTCATCGCCTATTATGTTACCATCTGTAGTGCTGGATCATGTGATACAGATCAAAGTCAACGAGGGGAGCAGTGCCATGAAAAGAACATAGCATCCAACTGAAACAGCATATTTTCAAACCTGGCTTTAATAGAAGAATTGTTTGGATAAAAGAGAATTCTCTTTGATTCCACAGTTGTTTAACAAGACCTACTGCCCTTTGAAAATAAGTCTCTGATTTGAATGTTTTGTTATTTATCTGTAAAGAAATCATGTCTTTTTGCCTAGAGGATATTATATGGGGTTGCCATTGTAACTTCCAGGGAAAGGTTGTTGAAATTTATAGGCTATGTCCGTAAAATAGGAGGAAGATTGAGGAATGAGGAAGTATTTGGTCTGCTTTGTCTGCATCACTAGGTTTAATACAATGTTTCGGAAAATAGTGAATAGGGCCTGCATCATTACATTCTATTGCATTAAATAATTTACTGAGATTCTTTTTTAAAGTTTCAATTTAAGATATATATTCATACTTGTAGGTATAGGTTTTCTACTCCATCTTTCTGATATGTAACCAGCTTCTGGGATTAGAAACGGCCAAAAGAAAATGAGAGTTTGCTTACGAAATATCTTGAAGCCGTGAGACTAAATGATGGGTTAATCGAGGTCGGAGCATAGTAGTTGTGATCGAGTCAGTGGAGAGAAGTAGTAGATTAGGATTTTCCTTGGAACTAAACTACTTTGACAATATAGCAGTTCTCTGAATGTTGTACAGTAAGTCAGTAACCACCTCTTCCTGTTCCACTAATTAATTATGATACCCCACATAGCTATAATTGGTTATTGTCTTGACGCCATATTTATATTCTGAATCAATGCCGAAAGTTCAATTGATCTTCTTCTACCTTGTGGGTGTTAGTAAACTCTATTCCATGTGGTTGTGCATTTAGGCAGCTTTTCAGCTGAGAAATTGGTGCTCCACTTTTCCTTCAAGAGTTCTTCCTACGGCTAAAGGTCTCTATGTTGCTAGAAAATTGAAACTGAAATACCATCAAAAGTATAGAGTGACTTATCCTTCTACATAAATAAACAAAAACTTATCCTTGTGCACTTGCTAGACTGGCATTTGCATATGCACTTTTTACTCTTGTTTCTTATTTATACAAGTTATGATTAGGAAAATGAGGCTGCATCGTTGTGAAAATGGTTGCACTTAAGTTGTGCTATACGACATCAACGTGCATAGTGTTTTTGAGAAGGACGAATACCTCTGCACCATTGCTTGTTTTGAGCTATGAGAACAAGAAGTGATCACTGACGTCATTTCTGATGTCCAAAGGATGTATTTCTTTGGGAATACTAGCTCTACCCATGTAATAGATGAAATTGCCCAAAAAGTAGAAAGAGAGGATGTTGATAGTTATGAAAAATTGTAATTGGCCAGTTCTGGGGCACCTTTTTGTAGCCAGCTATTACCATCTTTAACAAGCCTCTTTGGCATATATATTAATCCTGACTAGAATTGTTCAGAGATAATTTAACTAGCAGGGATTTATGTGCTTGTTGTAACATTGAGTATTAGTGTTTTCTACAGTTTGGAGTCTGCTTGTCTTTTTCCTATGAAGATTGAGCAGCGTGAAATTTATAGAACGTCTAGTTTGAAATTCTACTTGTATTCTCTTCACTTGCCTTCTCATTTTGGGTTAACTGACATGGATCTTACCGTGCTTGTTACAATGCTGAGTCTTACAGCTGTCTAAATGTGTAAAATTGTGCACATAATTCTCCTTTGAGGATTTATTATTCACAAACTTTAACTTTTTGGTTCCAGAAGAGAAGATGGGGAAGCTGCTGGAGTCTATACTGGTGTTTTGGTTCTCACAAGCACAGCAAAAGAATTGGTCATGCCGTCCTTGTTCCTGAACCTGCAGCACCTGGACCTGCTGTTCCAGTTACTGAAAATCCAAACCACTCAGCCACCATTGTAATTCCCTTTATAGCTCCTCCATCTTCTCCTGCATCCTTTCTTCCATCTGATCCTCCTTCTGCTACCCAGTCACCCGCTGGATTACTCTCTCTCAAATCCCTCTCTATCAATGCATATTCTCCCGGTGGGACTGCGTCTATTTTTGCAATTGGTCCCTATGCTCATGAAACACAGTTAGTTTCCCCACCTGTTTCTCTACCTTCACTACTGAACCATCTACTGCTAATTTTACTCCCCCACCTGAGTTGGTGCATATGACAACTCCACCTTCACCAGAAGTGCCTTTTGCACAGCTTTTGACATCATCACTGGCCCGCAACAGAAGATATAGTGGGTCCAATTATAAGTTCCCGTTGTCCCAGTATGAGTTTGTGCCTTATCAAGATCCAGGAAGTCCGGGTAGTAATCTAATATCTCCTGGTTCAGTAGTATCAAATTCTGGCACCTCCTCACCTTTCCCTGGAAAATGCCCTATAATTGAGTTTCGTAAGGGGGAGCCTCCGAAATTTCTTGGTTATGAACATTTCTCCACTCGCAAATGGGGTTCAAGGGTTGGCTCAGGATCATTGACACCAAGTGGCTGGGGCTCTAGGCTAGGTTCTGGAACTCTGACCCCAAACGGTGGGATTTCAAGGCTAGGTTCTGGTACTGTGACTCCAAATGGTGGGGAACCTCCTTCCCGAGATAGTTACCTTTTGGAGTACCAAATCTCCGAGGTAGCATCTCTTGCTAATTCTGATAATGGTTCTGAAATTGGGGAAGGTGTAATTGATCACAGAGTTTCATTTGAATTAACTGGAGAAGATGTCCCGAGTTGTAGAGAAAAGGATCCCGTCATGTCACATTCGCAACAGACTCTTCCAATGGATGTCTCCAATTTGTTAGCCAATGAAATGAAAAGCGGTAGCTCTATGGCCGAAGAAAAAACATATGGATCGCCTAGGAAAGCTTCAGAAAGTGGGGAAGATCAATGCCATAGAAAACACCGGAATATTACCTTTGGCTCAAGCAAAGATTTTGATTTTGACAATGTGAAAATAGAAGTCTTGGAGAAGGACAGTATTGACTGTGAGTGGTGGACAAGTGACAAGGCTGCTGGGAAGGAATCAGGTGTTCAAAACAACTGGACTTTCTTTCCTGTGTTGCAACCGGGCGCCAGCTAATGCTTGAGACTAAAGGTTAAAAATCAATGTTAAAACACACCGATGTTACTGCTTCTGGTAATACTATAAACGAGCTGGGAATGCAATTTTCAGGCATAGAATTCTAATTGCAGCAACCTTAGCTTTAAAACTGAAGAATTGTGCAGTAATTGGTGTTTAATTTGGTGCTCAGATAGTCAGTCACCTGAAAATATTCCTTTGAATAAAGGACTTTTGTATACACCATAGAATATGTTTGAAAAGGAGATGTAAATGATTATTATTTCTTAAAAATGAGAATTTCTCACTTCCAACTTGTTTATGGTATCAAAGTAGTGATTGGTGGTAATCTATTACTTACTAGCTTCGTGTTTTAACTTGGGAAAAGGAAAATAAAACCGCTGCATAGATCTCCCATCATTTTGAACAAGTTCATACACTATCTATAAATGAATTGGGATAATTGCAACACATCCTTCTTTGGTCATCTCCTTTGCACAACCAGAGTTGTCATGTCATCTTCCCAGCCTCAGAAACTCTTCGTTCATCCACCTATGTTCCTCCTCGATCACCCTTAACAACTTCTAATTTCAATGTGAACTAAAACATGAAGATGAAATCTCTCAGTTTCCTCCTCATCTTTTCTGGGTATGTTCATTCCAGAGTTCGAATTTTGGGTTCTTTTCTGTGGTAACTTCTTTCCATGACGAGGCTTGGACAAGCTAAAGCATATTTGTAAAATGTCTATTTGAGTTTCTCCGCTTCAACTGAGAAGTTGGACTCTCTCTATGAAAAGAAAAAAACACGATATACCAAAATGCATGGTGAAAATCGACTTCCAGGTGCAATTGCTACCCAGATACCCTGAGCATGGTCGACAAGTTGGCTTAATCTTCCTTAAGGCTACATAACAAAGTAAATGGAAAAACAAATTCAAGAATAATTTGAGAAGATGAACGTTCTACCTCATAACCTTTAATAACAGGGGACACAAGCATGAAGCAACTAACAATACTATCTCAGACAGTACATTAATGTAAAGGAGGTTACATGAAAACTAGGAACCGCTAACCGCTGAAGTCCAATATAGATGGAAGGTACAAAATCTCCAGTAAACGCATTAGCAAATGCAGGAAAAATCTGAAGCATAAAGTAAGATGGAGTTACAGCCATTCATGAGATTCTCTGCAATTGTACAATTTGCTAGACCATAGAGCTGAATACGGAAACATTGTTTTCTTTGTGTGGCGCAGAGCATAGCGAGTACCAAAATAAGAGGACCTTACTTCCAGGGGCCATTGAGGATCATCGTGCAACCTTGCCACCCAGCAAAGATAAAATGCTCAAATGCATCTCTACCGAGGAATGATAGTGCAACTACTCTGTATTTATGGTCATTTTGCACAGTGCATATGTATTCATCTGGCCCGTCTCCTCTCCCTAGATTTGTCTCTATCATGATCATCTCTCTCCCTACTTCCACTCTTCCTTTCCCTATCACGACGCTTTTCCCTATCACTATCACGGTCTCTGCTGGAAGATTTCCACTGAGGGCTTCCACTTCTGCTCCGACTGCGCTGCCGCTTCCTAGAAGCTTCACGAGCATCGTCTCTTTTCTCTCTCCTCTCCGAAGATGACCTGCCTCCTGTTTTTATGAAAGCAGAAATATGAGACGATTTGAATACAAAAAAAAATATCAATAACATAACATAAGGTAAAATTGTTATTGTTGTAATAAAAGCTGCCTGTCCAGTATCCTGCTCAACCAGATATCCAAGTCTTTTTTACTTTCTTTTTCAATAACCTAGAAATCTCCAAGAACCAGCTAGCACATAGTACAATGCTCAGTGGATATAGGCCCACGCCTCTACCCTTCTCTACTTGAACACCAAACTTAAGTCTCATCAAAGCTCGGGCTCGTGACATGCGCCTAATCCATACAACAAGCTACCACTAAACCTAATTCTTTGGAGCACCAGATACATAATCTTCGCGTAAATATGATGATGACCAACTCTATCCAGCAATAAGTGATTCATCTTATAGATGCCGAGAAAAAAATTTGTTAAAAAGGACATTGCATCTAAAACATAATACTGTGACAGCAAAATCCTCACCTAAGTGCTTAAATGTGTGATATGTTATTCGCCTCGTTACATTACAATTTCTTGTACTAACGTCTAACAGAAACAGTTTAGGAAAAATATAGTCTCCTAAGAAGCAGCTTAGTAACCTATGATCCAGAGAATGTCCTCATAGTGTTGTTTAAAGCAGTAAATATTAATTTTTTGAAATTGAAAGCAGTAAATATTAATATGAGTAATAAAACCAGACTGCTTCAGCTATTCTTTACTATAAAATGAAATATACATCAACAAAGGATCTGAGAACTGATCAAAGCAAAAAAATTCTAGGAAAAAAACATTGTAAACAAAAAAGATAGGATTGAAGTATGATACAGCAGTATAAAGCTAAGATTTGACCTGCACATGCAATTAAATACACTTTACTGCTGTTTATCAGCTTCTTCTCTTGATTATTCAACGAAATGGGAAATCACAGCACTAAATGTTGATCTATTGGATTTAATTTTAAATAAATACACGGACATGTCAAACTATTTAGAGCTTTACCTTTTTTTGATGTATCTTCGCTGAAATTCAATAAACCATATTCAGATTGTAGGCATTGCCGATGGATTTCAACTTTCCTCTCAATTTCATCCGGACTTTTTATTCCTTGTTCTTCAAGAGATTCACGATATTCAATCAATGCAACCTCAAGACGCCTCAGCTTTTGCCTGATAAATTAGTTATGGACCATATCAAAATCCAAACAGGAGAAAAACGGAGGCTAGCAAATTGAAAGCAACAGATCCCACGCATGAGGCATAGAATCCCACAAAAATTTGAAACAGAAAGAGAATCTGCAGTATGGAAATAGGGAAGTATCCTAAGCTCCCAACACTTGGCATATTAACATCCCTAATCCTAAGAATATTATGAAAGTCAACATGCAGAGTCTTTCATTTCGTAAAAGTGCACCCTCGTATCTTTCCACAGGAAAACTACTAAAATCATAATGAAGAAAAAAGACATCCATTTGCTGACCTTGAGAGGGTGGGGAGGTATGAAATTCTTTCTTGTTTTCTGGCAGATCAAACTAGAGTAGTTTCTAACTTTTAAAAAATTATCCTTCAATGATTTGAGATACAAAAGTTAGCAGGTAAATTGTAGTAATTTTCATTAAGTTCCTAATCTCTATGCTTGTAAGCAAATGAAGCTTAATCCGACAACAATTTCACTCCGAAGTCGTTCATGTTGATCCTCCAGAACCCAAGGAAGTATCTTCCTGAACTAGGGAAGTACTGAAAGCTAAATGGATGACAAGACAATAAGTAACACCTATCTTCGGAAATAATCCCACAAGGAATGCTCAACTGCCCATACCTCAACTCTTCGTTCATTCCACTTTCCGGGTATGCTGAATTGCTTGTGTCCGTTGTAAGCTCTGCATCCTTGATCTTGCTAAGCCCATCACCAGCATTCTCACTTCCAGAAGATGAATATGTCAACCCCAGGTCCCTAGAACTTCTCTTTTGTTCATCATCACTTTCATCATCCTCTCTGGCCCATTTAGATGTAGGCAAAATTGTCTCACTTTTGCCCTCACTGGAAAAGTCAATTGAATTATAGTGTGGAGCAGAATTTGTTTGGTGTGAAGATACAGACTCTCTTTGTTTGAGTTGTACGTCATAATCCACTTGACTGTTCCGTTCAGAAGGAGCCATCCTGTCCAACTCAAGGTTGCTATCTTTCCGAGTACTGGGGAACCTAGCAGAACTTGAATGGCTTGCAAATTTCAAATCTTCATCCAGTTCATGACCCCTCTGCTTTTCAGCTTCTTCCAGATAAAGTAACCGAGCAACCATCATTTCCCTACCGCCTACGATAGATAAACCATTGTGCCTGCATCGTCTTTCTAGCTCAGTAAGTGGAAGGCTCAACAGTTCCTTCATCGCAGCTCCTTTGCCAATTGCCAAAGCACCATCTGGGTTAATTTTGCCGCCATCACCTGCATCATCAGAGCTGGTCCTTTGTTCCACGTCAGGTGCATCACCACACAGAGAATGGAAGGGGGTCACACCAGAGTTCCCGGTTCGGAGAAAGGTAGCTCGTAAACCATTGACATAGGCATCCGAAAACAAAAACCAATCAGCCCATACTTGAAGCACTTTCAGAACTCTCTCCTGTAACGTGTAAGGAAAAATTAACCACACATTAAAAAAAGGATACAAAAGATGTAGCGAGTGCAGATCAAATGTAGGTGACAGGCACAGCTTACTTTAAGTGCCTCGGCAGTAATTCGCCCTGTTATACTTCGATATAGATCATTGAAGCTTTCCATTATGTCTGGTAAAGAGGCTTCGAATTTGGTGCGATAAGCAGATGCATTCTTCACAGGAGCACTACTATTATGAAGAATATCAGAGACAAGCATGAGCCTAGAAACTTTTGTTGGTATTGGAGTTTCCTTAAGTGTCAACGACTCTGTCAAAACTTCAACAACCTGCAAATTATAATCAGCAGTGCAACTGTGTTAGAATATGCTCATTAATGAGAACCATCCGAAGTATACATGTAACAGATCATGCCAAATCCTTATTTTAATGCTACAAGACAAAAAGATCAGCCAAAACAAGTGTAAAGGGGCAACAAGAAGCATTATGAACATAGACACAACACAGTGCAAAATCAGCAGTTTTGCCTCTGAAAGGTTAAATATGAAAGAAGAGCTTCATACACAAGTGAGCTATTCGACTGCTGCATGAAACCAGCTTAAAGTTACCTCTCCAGCAGCATCAGCGTTGTCCAAAGAAAAACCCATTGCTGCTTTTATTTGACTTCTTTCTAGTGTCAATGAACGGAGCATATCCTCAAATTCATCCCTCTGAGCATCAGTCAATGTCCGTTCAACCTCCACTCGCTGAACAAGGTATAGTAGAAACATCAATCACAAAGAAACTTTTATTCAAGTTTCAAAGTCAAAATCCAAACTCTTAAATGCCTTGGAACAGAAAGCTAATCAAAAGGGCATACCCTGCTTCTTCCAGCAGCATATGTGCTCCCAGCTTCTTTTTCATGATCAGCTCCTTTCGGTGTTGGTAGAGAGGGTGGTATCCACCTGCATATGTGAATTTGTTATATTTGAAGAAAGAGCACAATATTCAAGGAGAACTTCTAAAAAGGCTGCAGGACTTCATCAAAGCCTTGCAGAACTCAGCAGCCTTCGCAAAAATTGAATGATAAATTCTATTTTGATGATTTCATTCTTTCACAGCAAGCATATCCTCAGGGAAATATCGGTAGAAGCTTCCTAAGAAACTGACTTAAAAAGTGTTGCATTCAGGATGAATGACATGCACATGCATCAAATATCTGATACTTCAGCAAGAGGAAAGGTAAATATGGAATGTGTAATGAAAGATGATATAAGTTGGAACAATGCATTACCTCCCACTACCAGTTATCATGATGAAAGGGACTGTCCTCCATCGTTGAAGAGTATCTCCCTGTTTTTTTTTAAATAAGGAAAGAAATTTTTATTAGTGAGGAAAGAAAAGCATGAGAGGACAAAATGTCCAAATTCCTGCAAAGGGTATCAAATGAAGTATTTCACTTATTGATTATATCACAAGTACAATTAGTCATATTGCTTTGCATAACATGGAAAGAGAAACAATAATTGACAAGAACAAAATTCTCGTCAGTTACAATTGCATGAAACTATTGGCATTTGCCATTGAAGCATTGTTTGAAGTATCCACGCGGATTGTAGAAGTGGTCGATGGGGTTATGTCACGAGTACTATTAACTCCATTTAACAGGAAGAAAATAATTGCAGTAACATTCATCCAGACTTTACAGCAGCAGCAAATTACCTGAGCAAAAGAATAGAGCCTCCAAACGTAGTAAGTATGCTCCTTCGAGCCAAGCTCAAACAAGAAACTGAAGAGAGGATTTCCACGGCCTCGCTCCATTATGGCTTGTTCAAAAGCACAACCTCCGTCGAGAACACACAGAGCCATTGTATCAATAACATGGCGAAGATGATCATCCTCTGGTGGAATAACCATAATATCAGGTACATTTGGAGTGAGAACCTGCAGAACCAAAAAAAGCATCAGATGAAATAGGAAAACGGTGCTTAATAATCATCTTCATTATAGATTGAAGATACTCAAGAATGGTACATGTTTACAAAAGGACGCATCAGAAGACAGGCCGATTGTTATATCAGTCAAGTTTTTCTAGCTAACTTAAGGCCCTACAACTTATCAGAATATCTATTTTTTTGAAACTGAACTTATCAGAATATCTATTGAAAATATTATCAGGATTAGTTATCCCGGGATAAACAATGAAAATGACTAAAACACTCCTCTCAAACCCTTTCTACTAAATAAGGTAGATTGTATTTTTGTAAACAAGCAACTTCTTAGAAATTATGCAATCCATGTTAATACAACAAACCAAAAGATAACTAATCATGGCACTAATCTCAGTATAACTAATCTTAGCATAACATGTCTTCAAACCAAACGACCCCTATATGAATACATATATGATATAACCTGTTTGGATTGGCTTAATTCTAAGCCAATCCAAACAGGCTCTTAGTCACAGAGAAAGAGGAATTTCAATATTGAGATTTTTTTCTTTTAAGATGTTTCTTAATAGAGTGCAAATACAGTATAACTTAACATAAATTATACAAAAATCTCAATAGTTTTAAAAGACTAAAAATTTTTAAGTAACAGGAGAAAAAGATATATAAGTAAGATGCTAGTAGCAAAATAGATTAAAAGCTGAAACTTAATTTATTCGAATTGAAGGATAAGAAGAATTCTTTAAATATTTGATATTATAAAAATGTTATACTTTATAAATTCTAATAAGATATTTTAAAACCACACGAAGCGCGGGGATACTACATAGTATTAAATAGTTGATAAATATTTTTTTCGGCAGGAGGAGGGCAAATCTGTATCATTTCAAATAGGTTAAGGGGATTTTTTACTCATTAAGTGGAAGGAGGGGTTTTTTGACCCAATAGGTTAAAAGGAGGGCAAATTTGATCCAATAGGTGCAAGGCCGCATTTTTGAACCATATCTACTATGTTAAGGGCATTTTTCCATTCGTACAATAAAAGGTCAATCATACTAACTTCATTTTTTTTAATGAAGGTATTTCATTAAAAAGCATCGAGCAAGAATTACAGAATAGACAAAACGGCTCACAGAGGGCCTAAGCAAAAGTTGTTAGCTCCTTTACAATCTTCAATCTAGTACTAGAGACTAGAGTTAACAAAGTCAAGATATTGTTCAGTGCTAAATACAGGGGTTAAATTAACCCAACTGAATAGCATAGGTAAACATTTAGCTTTGAGAGAGTGGTTTGGAGTTGAGATCCCATCAGAGCACATACGGTTCCTTTCAGTCCATAAACACCAAAAAATAACTCCAGGGATCATCCCTTCACCTCTTGTAGGCCACTCATATGGAATGCGAAGAAATTTCTCAATCTCCTGCTATTGCAGTCCTGTAAACTTTTCTTATAAGCATGTGATTTCCTGGCTCTCTCATCGCAGATGGTCAAACACTATAGCATCCCTGTTAGTTACCACTCTTAAGTAAATGTTTCCTCTGGAGTGGCTCCAGCACGCCACTTGTCTTCCCAAAACCGAATACCCTTGCTATTACCAATCGTGAATCCTAGACTGTAAAAAATTGTTCTTCCACAAACTAACTTCATTATAGTTTGTCACATCTCCAAAGGACCATCAATTCTCTAAGAATCCATATTTAACAGTTATCAAGTTTCTGATCAATACATTCTTCCTAGGAAAATCTCCATGACTGCTTTTCAAACAATTTCATATTGAACATTGATAATCTTTGTATCCCTCTTCCCCCGATTTTGTGTCCATTAATTGCATCCAATTTTCGAAATGATACTCTTTCACTCCCCCCCCCCCCCCACCCCTTTTCTTCCCATGGTAAGTCCCTCATAATTTTTTCTAGTCTACCTAATGATAACATGAACATTAGCAACAAAAAAAAGGCCAACAAATTATCTACAGATTCTTGGAATTTAGATCGTTCAGCACTGATGAGTTTTTTGCCGCATAAATTGTTTAAATGAGTTAAAAACAAGCCTCAAAATGCATACTGAGAATTTGTTAACTAAAAGAAGTAAATTCAGACTTGGTACAAATAAAATTCATGTGTTCACCTAAAAATCAAAATGATGAGCATAAATTGGCAGATTGGTCAAAAACTCAAAATCCTTCCTACTCATAGCACCCTAGAACAGAATTGTTCACAGCTAAACACAACTTCTTTATAAAATTGCACTTATTTTGTACACTCTCCTCCATGTTTCTTGCCAAACAGGAAATACAGATCAGTCCTCTTTGAGGTAATAAAAGTCCGGGTTTCCTCTTCAGACAGTCTCCTTTTTTATTCAAAGAACAACATACAAAGTAAAATTCCTATTTTATAGATAAAGTATAAGGCAAAAATTATAATTTAAAACGAAGATGACAGAACCCTCTCAAATCTACTCCAATAGACCTAAACTCTGAACATTTTGCTTCACTATCATGATATCTTTCAATAACACGGTAAAGAAGAGCTATAGAGATCTGATAATTATCCCAACAAAGAAAGAATGAACAAGGAAATATAGAAAGATCAACTAATCATCATACCAACTCAGAATTCTGGCCTGAAACAGTAGTAACTGGAGGACCTGATGGACCCGATAAGATAACAGTTGCACCCTGAAAACCAAGAAGATAGACCTCTTGAATAAGTACATGAGCATAAGCTGATATCATAAAGAGAAACCGGGAGGTGACAATAGAAAGCATCTCAAGCATGCTGAAATACAGCTTTAACAGAAGCTATTACATGGGAAACATTTTTTTGATGAAGACTATTACATGGGAAACATTTCCAAGGAAAAGGGTGAGATACACCACTACAGGATGTCTATACATATCATATCAACAAATAAACATGCAAGACACAACTTATTCCAACATGAACACATGCTTCATCCCATTGTCTTTGTTTTTAACATGTATTCAACTGATCGTACAATATTTTAACATACATAACTCATCAAACCATTCACTCTATCACTTATTGATTATTAATACACAAACTCCTCGACTCAACCATTTATCAAATTCTTAACATGTATATAACAGAGCATTGTACTCAAAAAATAATAGACAAACCTCCTTACTCCTGATAGCCATATGTCCTGGAGGAGGAGCAGGGAGTGCTTGAGAAGGCAGAGAGACAGATTTACCCCACCCAATCTTCAACTCATATTCATAAACAATAACTCCTGGATAATATTAACATGGTTTAGATATCAAAAATACATTCTTGCAAAAGATACAGAATATTAAGCAATAGAGCGAGTACACACGGAATAAGTACACATGCTAGCATCCCCATGCTCACGACTAATTAATTTCCAACTTCATGCCATAATTTACATAGGCCATGGAAAAGACACTTATGGAATGAGTACATAGCTGAAACTAGAGGAGGCACCACGTAAGAAGCAAAGTTATTGAAGGCTCAGTTGAGGCGCTTATGCCTGAAGCTCAGTAAAAGGCAGGTTACGTGCTTTGCCACACTTAGGTGGTGTTTTAGTCTCAATCCTCACATGCTAAGACATACACCTCATCACTATGACTTTGCCTTAAACAGGACAGCACTTAGTTATAAATATAGCTGGTAAACTATTTTATTAACTGTTCAAAAAGGTTCTGAACGAATATTTAGTGATCAGCAATTAGATATTATAAATTTAGTACAAGAAAGATAACCATATAAGTTATACTACATTTTTTCCTTCTAAATCAGATATATAAAATGGTTTTTAAACTTTGGACATGATTTTTACTTCATATATTTTGCTTAATTATAGTTTTTTCAATTCTTTAGTCCAAATAATCATTGTTCGTGTTTGTAGATCTTTTTCCTTATATTACATATATATTTATAGTTCTCTCTTCACAAGCGCTTTTTCATTAAAGTCGATACTTCACTTGTGCTTTGCACCTAAAATCCCAACAAACTTTAGCGCTTAGCTTTTTTAATATATATAATAGTGGTGTCTGGGTCAGCTTGCGCGCACCTCAACTTCTGCGGTTCTCTTTTGACTACTTCGTGAAGAAGACTATCGACAAAACAAAGAATGTAAAATCACTGATCAAAACCTTGTTCCTTGTGCATATCCTTCTATTACCAAATGTATATCTAAACAAATAAGGAATCAGAATAGACCCAGAACAAGGAGAGGAAATCCAAGAAAAAGACAAGGATGGAGACAGTCAACTGGAACAAATAAGATCAGCAACATTTGTTTGCATGTTTTGATACAGAATATAACAGCCTTGGCTACAGAATTTTCCTCCTTTCTTCTGCTTCATACATTTATGCATTGTAGACTCCACATGTATGCTTTTCTTTTTCTTTACAGTTCGAAATTTGAATGGGTCTTCTCCACTTAAATACCAGTCTTTCTTTTGCGGCAGGGTTCGAACCCGCGACATGAGTCTACTGTACACATCACACGTTGCGCTCTTACCACTAGAACAAAGCCTTGGGGGCAACTCCGCGTGTATGTTTTTTAACAGACATATATCCTATTTAACTACTTACTGTCATCTTGAGGCTACTGACCACTTGTCATTGAGGATCCTATAACTCTGTACTTTAAAAAAAACATACATAATGTCAACTTGGTCAATCACTAAGAACCTAATGAACAATTCCTAAGCGTCTGAGGGGAAGGAAAAAAAAAAAAAGGGGGGGGGGGGGGGGGGGTCAATAGAAGTGCTCTACAAAGAGGAGCAAGACAATCACACTCATCAGACAAAAAAGAACAGATCAAGAAATAAATTTACATTCAAATCAAGAAGATGAAGCTAACCTTCCATCTCATCCTTTGCAGCCTGAGCATCAGCTCTATTCATGAAAGCTACAAAACCACAATTCCTCTGTCGCCTTCTTTCCTCTTCAGTCCTTGGCCACATTATTTTTACACTTGCAATGGGGCCAAATCTCCCAAATGTGCGCAAAAGAAAATTCTCATCAACCTGCAAGTAAATAAAATAAATAGGTATCACACAAAAGAAACACCTAAAGCAAAAAAACAATGATCTCAAAATTAAGAACAAGAACCTTACCTGAGGTGATAGATTTCCTACGTAGAGATTTGTCGTTTGTGGGTCTCCATCATCAAATGATCCAGGCCTTCCACTAGGATCAAAGTCATCGGGCAGTTCATCAAACCGACTAGATGGCTGAGGAAAGAGTAAGGTTAAAGGATATACAAATATCATCATTATGACACAACAAGATGCCATATCAAACCTCCATTTGGTTAGGCATAACATATTTTAAATCACTATTTTTCCAAGTAAATTGACAAATGATCATTTCCTAAAACATTTTCATGTGTAGACCAGAATTAGACATTTGAGCCATGTTCTGATAGTAGAGGGCTGGGATAGGCCTTTGGGCTGTTTAGTGATCCAATGAGTAGCAGAGCAAGGAGTCTTATATTTTTGTGGATGAAAATGATACAGTTAAAGAAAGGATCATCAAAGATGTAATTGTCTTCCTCCATATAACATATCCATAAAGGAAAATCATCTTTGGATGCACACAGGGTAACATAAAAGAAATTCATCTTAAGATGGCCAAATGCCTGAATGCATGAAAAGATCATTTTATGTTTCAGATCCCAGATGTTAAGAAAGGGAAATGAATCATAGATGCAAATAGTATGACAAATTGTGATAATGTGATAATGTGATAATATCATAGATTCATAATTGTTGAAATTTTGCTCTATTTCAGAGAAAACTGATCGTGCTCACTCATAGCACATCAGCAATTACAACAAGATGTGTACATGTAACATATCTTGTGTACCTACTCTAGAAGTGGTAAAGCAATCTTCTAAGTAATGTATTTAACTTCTCCAGTTCCCACAAAAGATTCAGATCCAAACATCGAGAGAACATGATGTAACTAACTGTCTACAACTTTTTTAATGCACCCAACACTCCTTAAGTTTTAACGCATTCATTCTAAATAGAAGCTATTACAACATACGTTATCATGACTTTTGTCAAATCTTCTCGGATCTGATTCATGAATTCAAGAATAGAAAACAGAAGATTAAAACAAATAATCGGAACATTTTTTCTTTGCAGATCGTAAATCCACTTACAGCAGAATTTTCAGTATGACGATCACGCCACTGTTCACGGTCTTGGTTACGCCTTTCCCTCATTTCTTGCTCATGTTTCAGTTCCTCCATGAAATTATCAATGTTCCTAGCCTTGCCCTTCTCTTTTTCTCTCGGCTTGTCCTCCTTCTGCTAGAAGTAACCAACATATTTAGAAATCAACTAGTTACAAGTTTACAACTCTTGCACCAAAGAGAATTCAAACACCCACTAACCTTCTTTTCATGATCTCTTCCCTTAGTTGCCATAGGAGGTGGTAAGAAAGAAGGCACATACCTGCAGTTCACAAGATACATTCCAGAATCTTTGCTACCAATAATCTTATCCTTGAACAGTGACAGGACCAATAATTTAAAAGGGGAAGAAGGTAAGAGATAAAGGATTAAGGAGACGTGATATTACAAGTAAACCGTAAGTAGCACCACATGATTACCACCCATGAGTAAGTACTATTTGTCTATACAGAGCAGCAATAAAGACGAGTTAACCATTAACAACACATTAATTTGCACCAATATAACCCCAATTAAAGAAGAAAGAAGCCAGTGATCAGCACATTTAATAACAAGCAAAACCTCTTTTAATCAATTCACTGTGTTTCTTCTTATGGGCATAGAAAATTTATTGTTTTTTAACCTATTCTCAGATGTAGGGATATATTATCTTCCCTCACTACACAATTTTTTAAAAAATTGTTCACTGAGTATTTAGGTAGATAGCAAAACCTACCGCAGGATCCGATGGGAACAATAAGGACAACATGGAAATACCTCCAACTTTAGTAGTTAGTTAGCCTTCTCAGAAGAAATACACAGTGAATGCTATACTACACTAAGTGGCCATTTTGTAGCCAGACAAGGGACCAAATCATAGCGAAATGAACTCAAAATGGGACTAGATTTCATATGCTAATTTGCTCATTTTGATACTAGTTTGAGTGTAAAAGGACATCAATCCAAGGTTACAGAACCATGGGATAAAGTCTTAAAAGACCATAATGCATTTCTGTGAAAGTAGAAATATGCGCAACCAGGTGGCAGCCTAGTGGTCAGTAAAGTTGGTGTTGATGATGATGAAATGGAAGAAGGTGAAGCTGTTGATTTATCGCTTTCTGCAAAGACAGTCTCTTCAAGTTGTGGATCAACCGGCAGGAAAGATCCTTTAGATTGTTACTTACTGCAGAACCCTAGATATGGGGCACGGAAAAGCGCTAATAGAAATTTGCATGATGTTGCCATGGATATTTTGAAGGATCGTGCAGTAGCGGCTTTTCCACGGTGGGTGTACAATGCAGGGCTCCCCCTTAATTGTGTCAATTATACAGGCTCCCCCTTAATTGTGTCAATTATACAGACACTTTTGGAGCCTTCATTGAGGCCTTAGACCAATTTGATCTACGAATGAATCCCCCCACTTCTCATGAAGTTAGAGGTCCTTATCTAACTAAAGATTAAAGAAGTGGAAAAAGACAAAACAATTGTGGAGAAGGCATCGGGTAGAATGGAACAAGTTTGGATGTTCTATTATGACAGGTAAGTGGACGGCAAAAGCTGGAAAAATGATTTTCAATGTGCTGGTGAATTATCCAAAAGGAAGCTTATTTCTTGAATCCATTGATATGAGTGACTCGTCCACTGATTCCACCAAAACGTTCTCTTTGTTTCAGAACACTATAGAGAAGGTCAGAGAAAAGAAAGTTGTTCAAGTTGTTACAAACAACACACATGAAAATGTTAAAGCAGGTGATATGTTGAAGAGAATGTTCTCGTTCATATATCAGACTCCATGTGCAGCTCATGGTATATATTTGATGTTCGGGAATATTTTCAAAAAAAAAGAAAACCTTCTCTACAGGGTACATTTTTACATTGCTCAAAGGCCTTTGTTATTAAATATGAGGATATCCACAAAACAAAAGAACTTGGTGAAACCAGGCAAGACTATATTTGTTGTTGTTTTCTTGACCTTTGCATAGTATGCACATGCAAAAGGACAATTTGAGAAGCTTGTTCATTTAAGAAGAAGAATAAGTTAGCAAAAAAAGTTATGGGGAAAGAAGTTGCACGCATAACTATTTCTTATTGGAGTAATGCTTTTTATACTCTTAAAATTGGTGGTCCCTTGATTAAAATACTTTGTTTGGTGGATGGAGAGCAAAAACCACCAATGGGCTATCTTTATAAAGCTACAGATAGGGCAAGGAGGCTACTCAAGCGTCACTTCTTGACAAGCAAAAATATGTAAAGGTATTTGAGATCATTGATAAAAGGTGATTGGATCAACTTCATAAACCTTTGCATGCAGCTGTGAATATTTGAGCCCATCGCTATCATTTTTTATTTATTTATTTTTTTTATTTTTATGACAAGGGAAACCCGCAGCCTCTACCCTTTGGGTGAGCACAGGGTAAAACCCGCTCCTATGCAATAGCTCGCAAACCACACAGGAGAGGTAACCCGCACTAAGCAAGCCCGGTGCGACGAGCTCGACCTAGAAGGCAAACCCCTAGCTTTCGTTGGCAAGGGATTTCAAATTTGAGACCTCCAACATGGAAGTCCCAAGCCCAAACCACTGGGCCACCCCGAAGTCTTGAGCCCATCACTATTATGATAACTATAAGAAGGATTTACACGAAAAAAAGTGTGGAAGGGATTCCATGGTTGTGTTGGTAAGTGGGTCACCGATAAAGATGTGCAAGATACAATAGCGCATAAGATTAGTACTTACAAGCTAAGTTGCACGGACTCTAGAGTTACAAAAGCTCTCCATCAAAGTTCTAAGTCTAACTTTTAGTTCATCTGGATGTGAGGAGAACTGGAGCATGTTTAAACAGGTAAGAACTAAGAAGAAAGATTTAGTATATTAGGATAATTAAATTATCTCCACAACTTATCTGCAGATTCATACCAAGAAGAGGAATACACTAACCCTAAAGTACCTTAACAAGCTAGTGTTCATAAAATACAATAGAACATTGAGTCGTCATTATAACACTTGTAATGTAATTAATCCAATTCTTTTGGACAGTATTGATGATGCTAATGAATGGTTAACACGAGTCCCTCAAAATCATAAAGATGAAGCAATTTTTTAGGGAGATTCTAATTTCACTTAGGGTGTTGTTGTACTTGTGGAGGCAAGTGGAGTTGGGGAGAACCATTATGGTTTAAGGGGGAATAACTCAAGCTTAGATAAGAGAAGAAAATAACTAGCTACAAGTTTATCCCTAGTAGATGAAGTTGAAAGTGATGATGGAGTTGAAGAAGATGATGATCAATATAATGATAATAGAATAATACAATATTTTGACAACCTTGTAGAAATAGAAGAATCAGAATTAGATGTTGACCCATTAATAGCTTTGATTTTGTTTGTCCTATGGTCTGTGGAGGATTTGGTCATATCTACTTTTTAGTTTTAAATTTGAACTTTTGTTTGTAAATATAGTCTCTATTTATTTTGGTCGTTTTTCTTTTAATTGTGTTTCACTTCAATGAAGCAAAGGCATTGATCTTTTTCTCGATTCACACTCTTCAAAACACTGGGGAGATAGAGGGTCACCTTACCTTAGAGCCCTGAGAAAACTCTAACAGACGTCTCATTTATCAAGATAAGAGAATCTTACTGTTGATATACAAAATTTTATCCACTTTCTCCATTTATATTTGAAACCCATGTTTTCTAATAGTCCATCAGGAAATCCCAATTAACATGATTATAGACTTTCTGTCTGTCTAACTTAAATAAACCTTGATCCTCTTTGTCTTCTTCTAGATCCAAAGCCTCATTCGCTATTAGTAGTACATCTTTTATTTGACTTTCTTTGAAGAAAGTCATCTTGTTCATATCCACCAGCTTCCTAATTACTTGTTTTAGTCTTGACGCCAACAACTTTCCTATAACTTTGTAAATGCTCCTAATTAGACTAATTGGCCTAATCTTTCAACTCTTTCACACTGAACTATTTGTCAATCAATGCACTATAAGTGGAATTTACACACTTAACAAAATATTCACGCTCGTGAAAGAGATCTCGAGCTATCATTACTACTTCCTTGATCATCGTCCAGCCTAATGCCTTATCTCCCGCAGGTGCCCTTATTGCTTCCACTATTACTCTCTTCAAAAGCTCTTTGGAGTAATTCGCTTTCCTCTCAATCTAGACATGGACATGCAATTCCTCATCCCCCAATTTGGTCTCCGATATTGGGTTTCAAAGTATAAAGACTTGTAGAATTATTTCATGTAATCATCATTCGGCTCTTCTTCTTTTTTTTTGATAACCGAGAAATCCGTCTGTGAACCGCCGCCCTTTGGACCAATCACAGCCTTCTAAACTCGGTGGATAATGGGTCCGCCCCTCTACCCTTCTCCACTTAAATATTGGACTTCGCTTTGCATGGTGTGGGGCTTGAACCTGCGACCTAAGTCACAAATCCTCCACCTTTTGCCACTCGAGCTAGGCCTTGGGGGTAACAACATCATTTTAAGATAGCATTGGAGATGTTATTGTTTCTTTTTATTAAAAAAAACTAGTAATATTGTATTCCTCCACATTAAGGTATGTTGGAGATCTCCAAAAAGGTAGTAACAAGCTGAATTAAGTCTATATCAAGAAAAAACAGTTACACATTTATTTATTTTTGAAACTGGCAACTTAAACAAACCAGTTACACTAAGACCCGCAAAAGCACGTATACCTTCCTCAATTGACAAAATGTTTTTATACTGACACTTGAACAATAGGGTTGTTATGCTTAATACTAAACTTGTTGAAGAGATGAAATACAACAAAGGTATCTATTTGTATCGGAGGTTGAATAGTTCTAAAAGAAAAAATAGAAAGATGATCATCAAAATTTTGTTGAAATTATTCGTATGGAAATTTCCAGTGTGATCAAACTCCTAATGCAGTATTTCAAGGAAAATTTAGTGACCCCAATCTATAATTGACTTTTTCATAAGATATTGCCCTATAGCAGATAATGGAGGCACCAAGCTCCCTCTCCATATACACATAGTACCAACATAATTATCATTTGAAGGTAAGTCAAAGGAAGACTGAAATCAAATATCTAAAGAGACTAACTGACACAAAACAACCTGGAAACATATAAAAGCCTAATAAGAACAGTGATGATCATCATGAGAAACTTGGTATTCAGTATCCTAAATTACAGTAACATTGCAACATGGTCAATCAAAAGCATTAGTTTACCTACTTCCCTTCTTTAAACCTGACCCCTCATCTTTAGAATTTCCACCTGCCATCCTCGAATGAATAGAAAAGGTCCATATGTTTAATAATTTGTTCATGTAATAAAAAAAAGTCATATTTTATTTGTAAGAATTAATAAAACAAGAATCACAAATATCAAACATATATAGATTCTTGCAACGAACGGACCTTGAGAATCCATCTTCAATTTATCATTTGGATTGATGGTTCCCCCTCTAACAAATGCCTTGGAACCTGGTGTATTGTCCGCTTGGAACGATTCCACAAACTCTTGATACAGACGAGCTGTTTCATCCTCTGCCCTCTGCCAGCCAATACAAGACATACATAGTGAGCTAAATGGGAAATCGCCCATTTCCACATAAAACTAAAATTGCTAAAGCTCATACCTTTTTCTTTGCCTCTTCCTCTTCTCTATGCTTCTGGAAAGGGGTCTTCTTCCGAGCACTCATCTTCTCACCAGATACTACTTCAATTGGAAAGCAGAAATTTGGGTTTCGGTTCAGAAAAACATCAAGAAGAAAGTATTATTCCAACAATTAACTTGAACGGCACTCCTTTTGTTCTTCCAGAGTTTTTCTTTGATGAGATTTGTTCTTCCAAAGTTTCTACTAGCCACAAGGGTTCTTCACCAGAAGAACGGCTCAACCCTAGTGGCTTTAGGCCCCAAAAAAAAAAAAAAGTCCTCAAAATGATTTTTGTTTTTGCTTTTTTGGTTTTTTTTATGATGATTGGATCGGATTTCGCCCACCTTGATTAATTCTACGGAACATATGTCATCTTTCATCCGTAAATGTTTTATGCATGTATTTTCAAAAATTTAATATTTTAATAAAATACGATTGATGTGATTATAATTAAAAGTCATAGTAAATTAAATTGTATTTATTTTTTACAACTTAATTTGTATAATTTGCTTCAATTTAAATTATTCTTGTTTTAGCATTAGTTTTGTAAGACTGTCTTCGATTTTTTAGTGTCTTCTTAAACATTCAAGCTCGAATCAATTAGATCTATTTAATAAAGATTTTAATTTGTAACTTTGAATGTCTTCTAAAACATAGTTATCATTATTATATTGATGATTTAAACTTATTTTTATAATTAAAAGTGTTATAATATATTATACAAGTAAAAAATAAGATTTTATTTAGCATAATCAATCAGGTGAAGTCTTAAGAATATATCTTAACACCCTAAATTTGTTAAGTTTTATTCGGTGTACACTTAAACTTTGCATTGACCTAATTATCTCATTCAATTTGATAATTTGATAGTCAAACCTCATCTATCTCCAATGGCTCATGGATGTGCAACACATGCATCGTCATATGATTTGATTTTATTTTATTTTGGTTGAAAAGGGTTTCTTCATATAAAAAACTAAGTAGTTGTTACATAGAAAGTGCTTGCACCATCTGCTACTTGGCGATCAAGGATATTAGCATCTAGGTTAGCTAGGTGATGATTTGGGATCGTTCTCTCTCCATCAGGGGCCATACTAATGGCTATTGGAATTCAAAATACTTAGATTACCATTGTTGCTAGATTAGTACAACTTGATAAACAATTATATATTCTCCAAGGGAGTCATGTCACATAACTGCTTTTTACCATGGTAGAGGTTTCATAAAACGTCAATTCATTTGTAGTGGCTCTTTTGGGACCTCCAGTTGCTAATATGTGAGCCACATTATTCCCTTCACGATAGTTATGTCGAATTCGGGGATTCCCTAGTCTCATCAAAGCAGACATGCATTCATTAACAATATTAATAAATAAGGGCGGGGGAGAGTCAAACATTTAATCACCTGAGTCGCATCCGTTTTAGTCTTAAGGTTGTGCTTAATTGCCAGTAACAGGCCTTGGTGGAGAGCTTGCAACTCCATATGGGTGTGGTTTATACCCATACTGCACTTATAAAAATCATCAATTCAAGTGTTTTTGTTGTTTCTGAAAACGCCACATATACTATTATAAATTGATTTGGGCATAAAAGCTCCATCAAGATTGAATTTGATGTCATCATCATTAGGTGGGTACCATTTAATCATGATATTGAGTACTACTATTGTTTATTTTTTTAGACTCAATTGAGTACATAAATTCGAAAACTCTGGATATCATATTAGGGATGTGGATAGGTCTAGAGAAATTATTGAAAAAATTTCGATTACAGCTAAAGCAGATATATCAAAAGGCGAAATGATAGAAGATTCCCAAGCGAGAAGGGGATTTTCCAAGATAGGGTTCCTATCTTTGAGTCGGGTATGCCGAAGAGGACCTGGGGAAGGAGAGTCGATATTGAGTGATGACCAAAAGGTTAAAGCAACGGGGCAATTGAGAAAACCATGCTTGACAATTTCTTCCTCCTGGCCACAACTTTTACAAGTATTTGAAGGGGCAATATTAATTCGATGAAGGAGAGAGTAAGTCGGCAGGCGGTTGTGATGCCATTTTCAAAGGAAATTTTTTATTTTCCCAAGTGTATGGGTTTTTCAAATCCAATTGCACTCTTTCAGGGTCTCGTGGTGTGGAAGGATAATTTTATAAGCCGAGGAAGTGGAGAAAGTACCATTGGTATTAAGAGCATGGGAGGGGAAATCAGAGTTATTAAGGCCATTGGTGCGAACAACTGACATAATACTATCAGTAATATCATCGAGGAGCACAACTGAAGTATCGTCGAGAATTCAAGTATAATTGGTAAAAATATCACTAACCTTCTTGGTAAGGTCGGTCTTATTGATGGGATCATAAATTAAGGATCTAAGATTATTATTAAGGGGAATCCAATTAAAATCCCACATGTTAATACTTTGACCATTAACCAGGTTCCAGAAAAATACCTTACTTGTAGATGTCTCAGCCCTCTTTCACATTTTTCCAGATAAAAGAGCAATTTGATAAGTTGGTGCAAGAACCATATTTTTGGAGTAAACAGTTTGCCCATATATGGTTTCAATTAGAAAATAGTCTCAAAGCAAGGCTGGTAAGGGAGATTGCTCTTTGCAACAACTCTCCTAATACCAAGCCCACCTTTCGACTTAGAATTGGTAACTTGACCCCAATTAACAAGGTGCATTATCTTTTTCGTAATGATAGTACCCTAGAGAGAAACTTGTTGAATTTTATCAATAGTTTTGAAGTTTTTTTAAAGAGGCTAAAGTATTGCATAATGTAACTAGGAACGGTGTTCAAAGTGGCTTGGATAAGGACTAAGCACCCAGCCGGATTAAGAAAGTTCGTTTTTCAGTTGGCAAGCTTGGAATACATACTGTCTAAGATGCGCAAATAAATATAATTGATATAGATCCTTGACAATAAAATTTTGCTACAAATCATAATTATTGAATCAATAGTTGTGCTTGGTTAATTGCTAATAAACTATAGCAGTTTATGAAATTTTCCCTAAGAAAATGCGTAGAAATTTTTTGCTTCCCCAATATTGGATATAAATTAATTAATTTTGCTAATGAAGTAGGAATTTGAGACATTTCAAAAATACTGAAAGAATATATCTATTCAATTAGTCATAAGTTTTTCTCATAAATAAAAATTATACGTGTTATTCAATTATTCATAAATTATGACAAACAAACAAGAATTTGTACTGAATTCTACTTATCATGTTAAATCGATCATAAATTATGGAATATTAACAAAAATGTATGTATCATATTATACAATAACTATTCACATTTTTCCCTCCGCTATATGAATAGTCATTCTTACTATTAACAAAATTAATATTCTACACCTTGTTAACTAACTATGTGTTATATTACTTTCGAAAAAAATATAATTGAGTACGATCCTGATCATATTAATCCATTGTAACTTTCAATTCAAAATATAGATATATACTCAAAAGTGGGACTATTAAGAAATAATATAAAGTATATTCTCTTATTATAACTTGGACTTGAGGTTTAAGCAGACAATTGTTGATGTACCTGCTTCAACAAGAATATTTATAATAAAAAATATATATTGTCTTACTTTAATTTAATTAATGCACATTTTAAAAAAAATGACAGGACTCACTTTAATTAAGCCCTTTAGTTTTAAATTTATTTTTCTTTAGTTATAGTTTATTTACTTTGAATGTGCCATTGATATTTGTAAAAAAATTGTAATTGTATTGAGCAAAAAATCGTTGTTCGATTAAGAAAAATACTTAAGTTATGAACATCGCAATGACCCCTCTCACATTAGGTTTTCGAGGAAAAAGATATGATCAACTGCCATATAAATATATATAATTTAGGGTAACTTATAAAAATCTCACTAGTTTAAGAGCTAATTACTTATATTCACACTAGTTTACAATTTTACCAATTCTGATACATGTATCTGACACGTCCAGATACGTCCAATTATGTGTAACTTAGATACATGTGGTCAAATATAAGTGTAATTTGTTCTAGATACATTGTATTCAAGTGGATTCACATGTATCTGACTCTATCTTCTCTTGCCTCTCTCCTATATCGCTCACCACTCACCTCTCTCACTCGTCTCTCTCCCTTTATCTAGTTAGATTTGCATGTATCTCAGAAACTTGCTTTTCTCTCTCCTATCTAACTCGTCTCTCTACCTATCTCGCTTGGCTCTCTCCATATTTTAGCGTATCTTATAGCAAAAATACATATATTTAAGTGTAACTAACTTAAAGTTATTAATTGGTGAGACAATATGTAATTATTTCAAACTATAGGAAGAGTTTATAGATATGATAGAAATGTTTTTCTAATTAAAAAGTTTTTCCTATAATTTCTTAGAGCAAAAATCTAAAGTCATTTAATCGTCAACACTTACAATTTATCAATATAAACAATTATTAGGTACTATTCTACATTTAATTAGCTAATTTAACCACATAAATATATATATATATATATATATATATATATATATATATATATAAAACTTATTTTAGATAATTTTTTTTAAATTATTTAATTAACACCACTTAACGAAAATAATTTTATAGATAAATATTGAACTTGTGCACATCTTGAAATTTTCGTCACTAGTATCATGAGAAACAAGACTTGATGGTACTTAAAATTCTTTTAGAACAAAAAGTGCAGTTTTTACAATATATAAATGAAAACGCACATAAAAATGCTATATTAATAAAATATTACCATTTATAGTAATAATAACATTTATAATATAGTTTTAATACATACTGCAAATAATAGTTTATAAAACACATATAATATAATTTTATTGATGTATAATACATTTATCACATATTTTAATACAAATATAGTACATTGTATCAATTTTTTACCAACAAACATAATATATTTCAAAACACTTATAATACATCTATATTGCATGCTTAATTTACTTTTAATACATAATGCATATTTATTATAGTATTGCTATGTAATACTATAAATAGTAATAAATAAAAGAGATTGGCTGAAGTCAATAATTATTTATTAAAAAAAGTATTGCCCAAGTAATTTTCCACATATAAATTAAGAATAGTCAGTAATTTTCTCTAAATTCTACATTTCATCATCAATTCAGGATTGGCCCATTATGAAAGCATATTGATTTGCTAATGGAAAAAGGAGTTGGCAAGTTTCAGCCAGATCGGCCCACTATGCTTCATATTTACGGCCCAAGCCCATCTGAGCACCCAACTAGTTC